ATGTTCACGTATTTGGGCGAATGCTCCTGCTTCTACCTACTTAGAGAAATAGTCAGTTAAAACCAAAAGGAATCGTACCTTACCTCGCCCTGTCGGGAGGGGGCCCACGATGTCCATTTCTCATTTGATGAACGGCCAAGGTGAGGTGACCAAGTGGAGGTGTTCGTCCGCTTGGTGAATCATCGGGGCGTACTTTTGGCATTGCTCGCATTATTTCACGAAGTCTGTGGCCTCCTTTTTCATGGTAGGCCAGTAATATCCTGCCTGTATGAGGCATCTGATCAAAGCCCGATTGTCGGAATGAGCTCCACAATGGCCCTTGTGGACCTCTTCAAGGATGCGCGACGTCTGGTTTGGGCCCAAGCATTTCGCTAGAGGGCCGTCGTACGTTATCTTATACAGGTCGTTGTGGATGATACTGTACTTGGCCGCTTGCATTCTCAGTTTCTTGGCCTCTTTTTTATCATCTGGGAGTACGCCGTATGGTCGCGCCAGTCCCAAGTTAAGTTTATGGTTCGTACCTCGATTTGGTCCAGCGACGAGTTAAGAAGGTGACCACACTTCTGTCTCCGATTGTAATGTTTTTGGTAGGTGTAGCGAGTTTCGTCGAACTCGCGTAGCAGCTTGCAAATTCCGGTCTGATATTTTTGTAGCCTTTGTTCCTTAATTTGGAAAGTTCCCGTGACTTGGTTGACTACGAGTTGAGAATCGCAACGTAGTCTTAACCGTTTTGCCCCATACTTGAGTCCTAGCCTTAACCCTGCAATTATGGCCTCATACTTGGCCTCGTTGTTAGTCATATTCGGGCACCTTGTGGACTGGAAAATTACTTTTCCGGTTGGGACTTCGAGTACGAGTCCCAGTCCGGACCCTGATGCATTGGACGCGCCGTCAGTGTACAGGACCCAGAGGTCCTGTGTTTGGGGGAAGTGTGGGCGGCTTCTCTTTCAACTTCGGGCATTACTTTTGCGCTGAAGTCGGCGACGAAGTCAGCGAGCACTTGTGAATTTATCGCTGTTCGCGACTGATATGTGATATCGTGCTCGCTTAGTTCGATGGCCCATTTGACCAACCTTCCTGATAGTTCAGGTTTATGCAAAATGCTTCTTAGGGGGAAAGTCGTGACGACGGAGATGGGGTGACATTGGAAATACGGTCTAAGCTTTCGCGAAGCTACGACTAAGGCCGGGGCTAATTTTTTGAGGTGAGGGTACCTCGTCTCAGTGTCGACTAGTGTTTTGCTAATGTAACAGATGGGAGACTGCATATCTTTATTTTCACGAACCAGGACTGCGCTCACAGTTACTTCGGATACAACAAGGTAAACGAGGAGACGTTCTCCTTGCTCTAGTTTTGAAAGCAATGGTGGTGACGACAAGTATATCTTTAACTCCTTCAGGGTTTGGACGCACTCAGAAGTCCACTGGAGGTTGTTATCCTCCTTAAGTACATCGAAGAATCTGTGACACCTATCCGATGATCGTGAAATGAACCTTTAAAGGGTGGCGATACAGCCAGTCAACCTCTGAACCTGTTTTTTGGTGGTCAAGTGTTCCGGTATTCCCTCGATGGATTTGATTTGATTAGGATTGACCTCGGTTCCTCACTATGATACAGGAAACCTAAAATTTTTAATAAGGTCACGTCGAACGCATACTTTTTGGGGTTTCAGTTTAATTCCGTATCGTCTGAGTATGTCGAAGGTTTCTCTCAGATAGTCGATGTGATCTTCTTCCTTTTGGACTTGACTAGCATGTCGTTTATATAGACTTCCATCATTTTACCGAGTTGGTCTTTGAACATCCTCATCACAAACCTTTGATAAGTCGCCCCTGCGTTTTTCAGCCCGAAGGGTATGACCTTGAAGCAGTATGTCCCCTGATGGGTAATGAATGTGGCTTTCTCCTGATCCTCTTCTTCCATGAGGATTTAATTATAGCTTGAATAGGCGTCTAAGAAGTCGGTAATTTATGCCCGACCGTTGCATCGATGAGTTGGTCGATATGGGGTAATGGAAACGAATCCTTGGGGTTACGAGGAACTATCTCTATAGGTGAAACATAAAAGTTGTGCGCGGATAATAAATGAGGCTTACCTCTTTCATTCCGGTGAGTCCCTGTCCTTGATCTAGGCGGGCCTTCATCGTGGCGGGAGGCAGGCGCAACGACCGCTCTGACGTATTGTTGATACCGTTCTCTGGTAGGCTGCAGAGCTGCGAGATCTCTTCTGGTATCATTTCTTCGATCTTTTCTGGATTCGGCATGTACCGAGGTCAGTCAATGAGTTGGTCCATTGAGGTCTTCCTCATTTGCTCAGACCTCGGTACAATATGCGTTTCATCCTAAGTGGTTGAGGGGGTACTTCATCAGTCGACTTAATAGCTTTTTAGTCGCCCTTGAACTGTTCCTGCTCAGCCCGTTCTGGAAGGCTGCGACCGTCATCCCTTCTGACACGTTCGGTAAGGTCATCCTTACTCGATTGAACCGGGTGAGGAAGTCCCTCAATCTCTCTCCCGGAGACTGTTTAATAGCAAATATGTCGTTCACTCTCACCTTGGCCTTTTTGGCCCCAGCATGGGCTGTTACGAACTTGTCAGCCATCTCTTCGAAAGTGCCAATGGAGCGTGCAGGTAGTTGTGAATACCATATTAACGCTCCTCCTGTGAGGGTTTCGCCGAATTTTTTCAACAAGATGGAGGATACTTGTTCTTTGGCTATATCATTGCCTTTCACGGCGGTGACGTAATGAGTCACATGATCTTCAGGGTCAGTTGTGCCATCATATATCCTGAGGTAGGGTGGCATTTTAAAGGTTTTTGGTATAGCATGTGGGGCCGTGTTATCACTATACGACTGTTCGAAGAACCGGCCGGCGTCTCTCTTTGGCAACATCTTGGGAGCGCCTGGTATCTTATCGACCCTTTCCTGGTGTTCTTTCATTTGATCTCGGAGTACCTTGTTCTCATTCTCCATTTCTTCCATCCATTTTCAAGATGGCTGCAAGAGCGTTGTCACATGCATTATCATTAACGTTGTGAGTAATACCTGTCATTGGAGGTGGAGGGAGTTGGTTGCGCTATTCGTCTGCCGGTTGTACAGTGCAAATCCTTGCATTTTCTGCGGTTGCATCTCGGGTGGGCTTGTTGAGGATGTTGGTTAGCGTATCGATTAGCCACGCTTCGAGGATCTTTTTCACTACTAGGGGAGTCTCTTCCCCCACAGATGTGGAGGCTCCCTTACCAAGGGATTTTGTGATGATACAATGAGGATGCGGTGACCCATCTCGCCTAAGGGAGGCATTGGGCATTGCGCCTTAGTCTACTGTTTCACAACTTTCATTGATGACATTCATGAGGTTAGTTGGGAGGTCGGTGATTATTCTCGCCCTTTCTTCCCTGTTACCTGTCATATTGGGGTTTGTGCACACAAAGAAAGGAGATCTTGTTCTTGTTCTTGTTTCATGTTTTTTTTACGTAAGTGATCCATGTTAGTGATAGATCCAGAAGAAATTAAAATTTAACTAGGAAATTCCCACAGACGGCGCCAAATTATTTGACCATAAAGTGTAACTCCTGGCTCAAATAATTAAATTTATGTGTTAAGGGATTAAACCTAGTTAACAATAATATTTCTAGATGTGAGTTCCAAAAAATGTAATTAATGTTGGACAGATCTAGTAGAAATGTAATGATGGTGTGCCATAATCATTCCAAGTAACGTGGGCGATAAAAGAGCATTAAATAGAAACAAACAATAATAAATGGCATTCAAGTAAATAAAAGGAATGATTCACCCAATAAAGGAGGAACTAGGTGTTATTGCTCCTGACAATGATGAATGACAGACAAATCCTCGAATGTTCGAATTATCCTCGGATCTGGTGAAAAGTATGAAATGATGTAGATAAGAATCTTGGTGAAAAATATGCTGTTTAAGTAAAAGAGAGAGAATGTTTTGTCAAAGTGTTTTCTTACAAATGAATATCACCTTCCCCACCCCATTGTCTCTTTTCTTATTTATACGAGACATTTCCGTAACAAACTCTAATAGTACAAGTGCAGAGAATATCTACTAGAATATTCTCTTTAATATCCTATCTCAAAAACTAGCTGTTATAGCTCTGTAAGTGGTGTTCGACCTCGACCATTGTTGACTCTCGACCACGGATCTCGCTGCTCCCTGGTCGACCTCGACTGACTCTTTCCTTAATGCTATCTTGCCCCAAATATTGTAGGGCAGATTTTGATCCATACACACATGTGTTTGGTCAAATCAAAATCGTAACATTAGCCAATACAATTTTTAGGTAATTCTAATTAAATGAAAAAAAATAATCGTGATCTGTTATTGTTATATCCACTAACGAATTGATAAAAATTTCCATGAATACAAAATATATGTTTTCATACACACATTTATGGTTATGTTATATGAATTCTTACCTATCCTTTTAAAGGCTAAGAATTTTGCATAAATATAGAGTACGAAGAGGTATTTAATGGCAACAATAATAATAATAATATACTCGGTATATTTCACAAGTGGAGTCTGGAGAGGATAGTATGTACATAATGAGGTTGTTTCCAGAAGACCCTCAGCCCAATAAAGCAAATTCACAACAGTTATGACAAAGAATTACAGAAAACGAAATACTAACAATAGGCAGAAAAAATAAAAACGAAGCAAATGAACATCAGGTAATAGTATCAATCTAAAAATAGGGAACACGAGGATAATACTAGTACTACAGCTAGGGAAGGAAGTACATGTTTGGAAAGAAAATGCGCTCGACTATTATCTAAGCTACGATCCTAATCTTCGACCTCCATACCCTACTATCAAGAGTCATATCCTCGCCTACGATCCTAATCTTCGACCTCCATACCTTACTATCAAGAGTCATATCCTCGCTTAGCTGAAGATGCCAGGTATTTAGTGGTAACGAATTTTCACAAATATGAACTTAACATAGAAAAGAATATAATAAAAAATAACAAAATATGGTGTCAAAAATGAGCCATTCCAACTTCTAAGGATAGAAATTAGTCCAATAATACATCACCTTCACTTTCGAAGGTTGATTCAAACCACAGGGTGAAAATGAAGAAGCTACAGTTAATTAACGGAAACGCTCTGATTCAATTGATTCGCGAATTACACCGTATAGCTCGAAGAAAAATATAAGAAAAATTAAATTTCCTAATTTTCACGATAAGCAATGTAATCTGCCAAGGCAACCAACGGAGCAGCTTTGTGTGGATCAAAATCCGCCAGCTGTTGTTTAGCATCTCGGTTGAGCTCCGCCGCAAATTCCTTAGCCTTTTCCAATCCCAGCAGTTTTGGATACGTCGTTTTATCCACTACCAAATCTTTTCCGGCGGTTTTTCCGAGCTCCTCCGACGACTTTGTAACATCGAGTATATCATCCACTACTTGAAACAATAATCCAATACACCTCGCGAATCTTCTCAATTTCTCCACTTCTTCATCTGTTCCGCCGCCGAGGATTGCTCCGAGAACTACGGAAGCTTCTAGAAGCGCCGCCGTTTTGTGTATGTGAATGAATTCGAGTGTGTCGAGTCCAACATTAGGGTTACCAGTACAAGCTATATCCGCTACTTGTCCAGCTACTAAACCTTCAGTTCCGATGGATTTCGCCAGTTCGCCGATGGCGGCGAGGATTCTCGACGGTGAAACTCCGGCGGTTGCAGTGGCGATGAACTCGAAGGCGAAAGCAAGGAGCGAGTCTCCGGCGAGGACCGCCACGTCCTCGCCGTAGACTTTATGGTTCGTCGGCTTTCCACGGCGGATATCGTCGTTATCCATACAAGGTAAATCGTCGTGAATGAGGGACATAGTGTGGATCATCTCGACGGCGCAAGCAGCCGGCATAGCGTTGGATTGGTCGCCGCCGACTAGCTCGCAGGCGGCGAGGCAGAGCATCGGCCGGACTCTCTTACCGCCGGCGAGAAGCGAATAGCGCATTGCTTCGTAGATCACAGGTGGGTCTTTTACTATAACAGCCTCATCTAAAGCTTTATTTACAGAAATAGCCTTTTCAGCTACGTAAGTTTTGAAGTTGAATTGCTCCTTCTGTGTTCCAGCTTCCTTAACTCTCTCATCTTCTTTGGTAGCAATAGCTGACACACTTAGAGCAGAAAATGGTCTTTTTTGTTTCAAAAAACTTGGGTTTTTCACAGGAATTTTCATGAATCCAGTGAAGGTTTTATTGGGTATGGTTTGATTGAAAACTGAACAAACTTGAGCAGCCCATGAATCGACAAGATTCATAGATCTCATTTTTGCAGAAAATAAGCTTAAAATAATACTGTGAAAGATGTATAAAGAAGCTGAAACGGAGTAGCGCAAATGGACCGTTAAATGGGTGGTGAAGTTGGACTGTAATGGGGTTGTTTTCTAATGGAAATGGGAATGAGAGGACGGCCCATTTGGACATACGTAACTGCCGAAGAATTCACGTGCTGTACTATTCAAAAAGAGTTTTTAAAAAGTTGGAAAAATTCCGCTCTAAAAATAATATATATATAAATGTTATACTTTTTTCAGTTACCGAATGTAAATAATTTCTGGCGCGGCCTAAAAGTGATATTTTACTCCCCTTTAAGATTTATGCAAAAGAAGTTTTTGTACAACCATTAAACTTAAAAGGTAATTATTGGGGTATTTGCATCTATACCCAGTTTTTGGGACACCTTTTAATCTATACCCGCTTTGCAAAAAAAATTACAAGCGTACCCACTTTTCGCGTAACTTCAGACATACGTGCCTGAAGTAGCAAAAATTTATGTCTGAAGTTTGAACTTCAGAATATTTGAAGGCAATCACGCAAACTTCAGCTCATAGTGCAGGCAAACTTCAGTTCAATAAAACTACAACATGTTTTAGCTGAAATTTTTGTTTTATAATTGCTGAACTTCAGCATTCCAGGAGCTGAAGTTTCTTTTGTAATTGTTCAACTTCAGCATTTTAGGAGCTGAAATTTATTTGTAATTGCTGAACTTCAGCATTTTAGGGTTGAAGTTTGTTTTGTATTTGTTGAACTTCATGTATAAATACAACTTCGAACTTTTAAATATTTTCTTTCAATTCAACTCCAAAAATTCTTTTCTTCCGGCTTTAACCAAATGTTTCCATCTGCATGTTAATTGCAATTCAATATGAACCTTAGTGTGTGCAATAGGTGGTTTGACTATTAGAATTTGCGAATATTGAACTTTAAATAATTGATTTAAGCATTATTTCAAATGTAAAAATAATTTTTATTTACGAATTTTCAAATATTTTTTTCAACTTTAAAATCTTGCCCATAGGCCTATTATGTATTTTTATGAGTAAATTTTAGGCACAAATGGGAAATTAAGCGACTTAGAAGGTAACATATGGAAAGCAATCAATCAAGAATGTGGTGGAGTGATAAGTAATTTTTTTTCTTAATCAAAGATTTTGAGTTCGACTTTTAAGCATGAAATCACTTTTGTTAGAGTGTATTTTACTCCAAATATGAGATTTTTATGTGCGAATTTAAATTTAATAAAATCTCGGTACGAATACCAGAAACACGAATAGGAAAAAAGAACATGTGAAAAGCAAGAAAAAGGAGATGATGATTGCAAAAAAAAAAAAAAAAAAGCAGATGATGGGTATTGGAAGCCCGGATCCAAAAGATACGGTTATTTGGACCAGAGACGGTACATTTAAGAATTACAAACAGACAGGAGATGGGTTGTCAGCTCCGTAAGAAATTCAGTGGTGATATGAGACCAATCATAGAGGGAGTAAGTAGAGAAGAAAGCAGGGTCGTTTGGTTACCGGTTAGAGTTATGCAGGTATTAGTTATACATGTATTAGTTATGCAGGTATAAGTTATGTATGTATTAGTTATGCAGGAATAGGTAATGCAGGGATTAGTTATGCATGCAATATTAGTTATGCAGGGATAAGTTATGCAAGGTTGAATTATGTTGGGATTAGTTATGCATGGATTAATTATGCGAGGATTAATTATGCGGTAGTTATATAAGGATTAGTAATATAAATGTAATATGAGTGTTATTTATTATTATCTTACTTTATTTTTATTAAAATTGTTAGTATAGTTTAAATATATTTATTTAAACAAAAAAATACAAGTTTGAATAAAGGGTATTCTTGTCATTTTGCGTTTTAATACAAGTATTACTAATTATGTATAAGTTATTCCACCTTCTACCTTGCATAAATAATACATAGATTCCCTCATAACTTATACATGTATTAGCTATACATGTATTAGTTATGCGGAAAAAAAAACACATGAACCAAACATTGTATTAGCAATGCTATATTTTATGTGAAAAAGAGGAAAAAACAACCAAACATTGTATAACTTATGCTAGCTTCTATGTGGAGATTATTCTTCCCCCTTCTTTTATCCAAACAATGTATAAAGTTATCCTACATTTAATACATGAATAACTCCACTCTAACCGGCTACCAAACGAACCCTTAGTTCATGTATGAGTATGTGTTTTACTTTTCCTTTTTTTTTTTTTATGGGCAGAATAGACGAACTATGATTTATTTATTTTGTAATGATCAAAAAATTAAGATGCCCAAGAATAGTTGAAATCTATTTAGTTTCTGTTGCTGGCCTTGGAACTAATATAAGTTTATGGAATCAACTTTAATGTAACATATATAATTTAAGTTATATGTAATGATCATTTACAGACTCTCTCCCTTCAAGGTTGGGGTAAGGTCTGCATATAGCCGTACACACTACTCTCTTCAGATTCCACTTGTGGAATTACACTGAATTTTTGTTGTTGTAGTGACCGTTTAGAAATTGTAGGTGTAATTTAAAACAATTGTAGCTGATTAATTCACATACGTGATAAATGATTTATATTGTTATTGGTATTATACATTACCAGCTGAAAGATTATTCCGATGATTTAGTTAATTAGATATCATTTCCTTCATTATCTGGTTTATTCGGATCATAACTTATGTTGACTGAGAGAACTACACTTTTGGGGACTACTATGATTCACGTATAATTGTTTCTGTTATATGTCGTGTATATCTTAACATTTCATAATTCATGGATATAAATACCTTTAGACTACATGTTGTTAAATGAGTAATTAGAGAGACATATCTCAAAATGATTTTTCATGACGACGTAATTTGGTAATCAGTGACAAAATCTGGTCGAACAAGAACCACGAGTCAATGACCATGAGACAAAATCAAATTACATATTGTTGACATGAGTTTTGGATCCATTCTGATTAAATCTGCTCGCCAAAAGTTTCGTAATACAACTGTCCGGCAAAGTCCTTCTAATTTCTGTTGCATTTTTTGTTTGGTTTATTATTAAGAAACTGCCAAAAGGAAAATAAGATGGTGAGTGTTGATCAACACATATATATCGTCCGAAAGAATTTTAAATACCACTACTGTAATTTGTGATTCTTATTGCTCTTACCAGGAAAAATCGCGTGCCCTTTAAAGATAATTGTTTAATTTTTGTGTTACTTAAACTCTGATGATAGCCTATTTGGCTAAGATTGTTTTTGGCCAAAAATAGTTTTTTCTCAAAGTTAAGGTGTTTGCCTAAGCTTTTAGTAAAAGAAAAAAATTAATGCTTTTAAGTAAAAACAGAAGCAGTTTTTGAGAAGCAAAAAAAATAAAAATTCTTTCCAAAAGCACCTTTTTTAAAATTATTTTTGAGAAAAAAATATTTAGAAACACTTCTTAAAAGTTTGATCAAACATTAATTACTGTTCGAAAGTACTTTTTAAATTTATTAGTCAAATATAAACTGTTTATCACCAAAAGTACTTTTTTGAAAAATACTTTAAAAAAAATATATTTTTCTACGTACGCTGATTTTAAAGGCTTGGCCAAACACGGTAGAAGTCAGTATTGATTGACACTGAGGTTGCCACCAAAACTCATAACATACCGATAAGAGTTTATTGTATAAAAGGAGGAGTTTAATTCCTACTGTCCTATTCCCATTGGATAAATTAAACCTACCAAGTAAAACAGTACTACAGTATATAGTTTCTTAATAGTCTAATCTTCGAAGACTAGTACTATAAGTTTTTTTTTTTTGAAGGATTATATGGTTTATTATTGCCCATATTTCTAAACGTTGGAGGAACTTTATATAAGCGGTTATAAAACTAAAAATGGTATATGCATATACTACTATACTGAAGAAATGTACTATTCTGTTGTTCTAGAGTTCTTTCAAAATACACGTTCATTTGAATATGACTGCGTTCTTTCATTTGATGCATTGCATTCTCAGCTGCTTTTTTTTTTTTTTTTTAGAAACTTGGTATTGATTAAGAGATGTTGAATTTGATATCTGAAAAGTAATTTTAGACGAACAATTTGGAATTTATTAGTTGAGACATTTGAAAATTGGAATCTTATGTCTTGAGAGACATTAGAAGGTCTGATCTTAAGCAGGCCAGCCCTCTCGGTTCAGTGTTCATAAGTCATAGCCAGTCCATTGCGTAAAAATTGCACGGGCGCCCTATTTGGTCGCCCCTATTTAACCTATACTCATTTTTTTTTAAAGTTTTAACTTGTACCCACTTTTTAAACAACTTCAGCCCCCTTTCTCCTCCTCCTTCTCCTCCTTCGTTTTCTTCTTCTTCTTCTTCTTTCTTCTGCTGCTGTTGGTGCTGCTATGAAACTTCAGTTCATGGGATGATTCCCTTAAATATGTTTATCAGATTATTTAAAAATAAATTATAAATAATTAAGTAAGTTAGTAGACAATAATTTGTGAATATTTCCACGTGCGTAAGTTAGTAGACAATGATAATTCTGTTCTTTTCACGTTTATTGTTTCCAAAATTTATGATTTAGATACTGTTGGCAATCTGATTATTTATCTAGTATGTTAGAAAGCTTTTTCAAAAACTTCAGCTTATATAGTGCTGAAGTTTTTACAAATGAACTAAATAACTTCAACATCTTCTGCTGAAGTTTTTGAAAAGCATTATGACAAAACCAATGAATCCAGGACAAAAAAACTTCAGCTTTTAGTGCTGAAGTTTTTACAAATGAACTGAATAACTTCAGCATCTTCTGCTGAAGTTTTTGAAAAAGCTTATCCAGGACAAAAAAAAACTTCAGCTTATTTAGTGCTGAAGTTTTTATAAATGAACTAAATAACTTCAGCATCTTCTGCTGAAATTTTTGAAAAGCTTAATGACAAAACTAATGAATCCAGGACCCAAAAACTTCAGCTTATTTAGTGCAATTACAAACAAAAACTTCAGCAAACAGAGAACAAAACTTCAGCTATTATGCTTAAGTTCAGCAATTACAAACAAAAACTGCAGCAAATAGAGAACAAAACTTCAGCTACTATGCTTAAGTTCAGCAATTACAAACAAAAACTTCAGCACAC